GGGGGGGAAGGGGAGAGCCGCACAAGGACAAGGTCAGGGACATGCCATGTCCGGCATGCGACAGCGAAAGGGCGAAGAGAAGGCCGACGTACAGGAGGCCAGACCCGTGTCCACAAAGGCCGCATGCAGGTCGGACACCGAGGACTCGGTGAGATAGAGGAACAGAGCCTCAAGCATGGCGCGGTCTTCGTGCTCCTGCAGCAGGGCGGCCGGGGGAAGGGACGGGGGAAGGGACAGGAATGTCAGAGGGAAATCGCCCATCCATGGCGGAGGGGGGAGGAGGGAAGATCGGGAGCCCGGAAGAAGTGACAAGCCCGCGCGAAAAGTGCACAGGCGGCACGGGCACACATACGCACATGGTATTCCGGGCCGGCCCAGGCGATGTACATCTCGCCGGAGTTGTCCTCATCCGAAGGGAAGGGGACATCCACCTTGCGTGGGGCGCCGGCGGTTGCCGGGGGAGGGAGCGCCGGCGAATCGACCCACGGGCTGGTTGCGCGGGAGAGTCAGACAGGCAAGCCGCGCAAGGAAGGGAGCAGAGGCCAAGGGAGGAAGGCGCCGAAAGCGACCCCATGCACGCATGCCGTACCGAGGCTTGGGGTTGGCTGGGAAGTTGGCGAACTTCGGCACGCCGATAATGCGCTCATTCTCGAATTGAGCGATGGTGCTCAGCAGCTGGGCCAGGCCGGCATCGCCGCCCAGACCGCCGATCACCACCAGGCACAGGTTGTCCGGGCGGTAGTACTCCGTGTGGTAGGCGCGAACTGCCGGACAGCCAAACGGTGGACGGAGACGAGAAGGGGGGCGGGGGGTGAGCACACGGAAGCAGGAGACCATGGTCCAGCAAGACAGCATGTAAGGACGCACCCTCCTCGATCGAGGATTGCTGCAGGCCGACCAGCGTGCCGCCAGTGTTGGATGTGTAGCCCGACCAGGCGGGGTACATCTCTCGGACCAGCTGCATCATCATCAGGTCGCCGCTGGTGTTCTCGCGGGCCTGCATCTCCGAGTAGACGACGCCGCCTTCCTGATGCTGGCCATTGATGTGATACACCTCGGTGGTGAAGCCCTCAGCGGTCAGGGTCGGGTGCAGGATGTGATCCAGATACATTGGCAGCGAGGAGAGGAAGCCCTTGATGCCGGCGTTGGTGATCTAGGCAGCGGGAGGATCAGAAGAGACCAGGGGGACATGGGTCAGCAAGGGAGGAGGGGAGGGAGCAAGACAGAACGAGGGGGCGAACGAGAGAGGGAGAGAGAGCGAGAGAGCGAGAGAGCGAGAGAGCGAGAGAGAGAGAGAGCGAGAGAGCGAGAGAGAGAGAGAGAGAGAGCGAGAGCGAGAGCGAGAGAGAACGCCTGGGCCACTGCAGGACGGGATCCCATGGAACCGAGTGTCCAGACGCACCGTGTAGCACGTGTGGTCCGTGTCAGTCCAGGCGTTTGTGCCATCCGAGAGGCAGCGGTTGGCATCGATATCGAGGATGCCCTGGCATCGGGAAGGGGGAGCAGGCGCAGGCAGAGAAAGATGGCCGGAAGTTAGTCGAACACGCGGCCGGGAGCTGAGCATGCCAAGGGGGGGG